AGGAAGAAAATGATTCCTTACCATTTTTAGATGTTTTGGTCGAAAAGTCTAACACTGGATTTCTTACCAGTGTATATCGCAAGCCTACTTTTACCGGTCAGTACATACGCTGGAATTCATTTTGCCCAAAACAACGCAAAGTCAACCTTGTCAAAACATTAGTACATAGGGCACTTATGATCTGCTCGAAATCTAAACTGCACGCTGAACTGGAAAAACTCAAAACGATCTTCTTGGACAACGGCTATCCTGAAGACGTCATTTTATCTTATACTAAGGAGAAGATCGCAAGTTTTTCGGCTGTTCAAAAGTTTGGTCCGCAAAAGTGCCCAGTTTATTTGAAACTACCATGGATTGGTAACACTTCCTTGCGATTCGAGAGTCAGATTAGGCAAGCCATAACCAATTGTTTCTTTGCTGTCAATCCTCGGATTGTTTACAGCACTAGGAGAGCCCTTCCATCCATTCAAAAGGATTGCGTCCCTACCAAACAAAAAAGTTCCGTCATTTATGAATTTACGTGCCAGTGTGATGCTGGCTACGTAGGGCGCACAACCCAAAGATTAGGGGATAGGATAAAACAGCATGTTCCTTCCAACATACGAAACAAAACTGCCCCTCAAAGAGAACAGCCTCCTCGATCTTGTAGGTCTAGAAACACTGTTAAAACAAGTGATTCTGCCATTGGTCAACATCTTTTAGACAACCCAGATTGTGCAAAACTCTATAATGACGACATGTTTCGGATAATTGGCAGAGCCCGGTCGTCCTTCCATCTAGCAGTTTTGGAGTCAATCTACATAAAAACGAAAAAGCCGCCATTGTGTAGACAAAAGGAGTTTGTTTTCTCTCTTGGACTCCATTGGTAATTTTTCTTTAGGCTCGCGGCACTGATTGGTCAACTATACCGGTCTTGTGCTTGCGTTTTTCTGATTGGCCTATTTCGATCCACAACTGGGTATATATTTTTCAAACGTGTTTTTTTCGGAACCTATTCTGACGTTTTATGCTCTGAGGAGTGTCAGACGAAAAAGCTTTAAGTATGTTGTAAAATGTTTGCTTTTTTCAAAGCCATTATTATACCACTATACTTTTTCATGGTTCTAAAATTTATGTTATTCAGATTTAAATTTCATTGATTCAATAACATTAATTACAATGATAACTCTTACAAGAAATACTATAGAAGATAACATTGATATAGTCTTTTCAACTAGCAATAATGTTGTAAAGGACACTGAGAATTGCCTATTGGAAACTGCAGTGTAAAATACTAGGTATTTATTCAGGTCCTTGAGGTGTTTGGGTCATTAGATTCTGTATAATTTATTTTTTTATGCCAAACATAGATTATTCGTATTCTGTTTTATGGCAGTCATGGAAGTTATGAAAACAAAGGACCTGCATCAGCTTTAAAATCTTTCAACCATACCAAATTAACAGTAATTCATTACCAAACACCAAATGGCCATATTACATAAAATATGGAACAGATTTAACACATCTAGATATATTTTAGCATGCTCTTTCTTTTAAACTCAAGCATGCAAAATTGAAGATCAAGAAATAAATCTTTATGGTTTGATGTCAATATTTTGTGACTTTATTGCTCAAGTTGGGTTCTATTGCAAGAGAAATGGGTAACACAGCTTGTCTCATGACCAATAGTAGAAAGAACAATGTTTGAAACAATTTAACTTTTGCACATTATATGAATACATATTTCATACACAAACTTTCCTAACTTGTGCCAATGGTGCTGGTTTATGTCCAGTGGCGAAGCTGGCCTTAAGTCAATGGTCATGCTTTGTATGGGACAGAAAGGGGATGGGGGTCTGGGGGCTACGCCCCAGGATAATTACACACAACCACACCCTATAGATGCTCGGAAAAGGGGGGTAACGCCCTTTTTAGTATATTGAATCAAATAGCTTTTGTTTCGATCGCAATCAATGATGTCAAGGACTTCAACATCTAAATGTTCTTTCCACCCCATTCTCCAATGTTGTGTTTTGGAAATATCTTTGGGACAATGTTTTTGAAAAATTGTGCATTTGAAAACCCCCAACAAACACTACTGATCATACTGGAAAAACATTGCAGATGAGAGAGTATTATATCTACAAATATTTTTCAAAATCTAAACTTTTGATAAATCAGCTTATTCAAATCAGCAAGGGGTTAAAAAATATCCACTCTCTTACTATTAATTATTGACACTTTTGATGATGTTTCTGAATTAAGATGAATTAGGCAGGATAAGCCCTCAGTGATAGGTAGGCCCTCCCTTGTTTATGATACAGGGAATTGTGGGATGCTTGTTTCTTGGTTCAGAATTTTATACTTAGCTTCAATTTTATAAGCTTAATTTTTACATATCTAAAACAAATGTATCAAGGGTAGTACTGTTTAGCATATACAAAAAGTTTTGACCCCTGTATTTAAGGTGTAACATGCCATAAACATCAACAAGTTAAGTCCAAGCCCAACATCAAGGGCTTTCCTAATACTTTGGTCTTCCATGTTTAAGAAACCCCATAGTTTTCCTGGCAACTGAAAGCCCTGGGGAAATCAAACTGCACTGAGAAGGTTGGCTGTGTGGAAGCTACATATATAGTGTGATTAAAAATCATTTCTAAATTCTATCCATCAGCAAATTATAGTCAAATATCCAATAACAGGGAAGTTCCAAAGTGCAATTTCATTATCAGCATCAAGTCGTGGTGTAATATTGAATAACAGGCAAATTACAGGGTACAATACATTTGCATTGCATAGGGTACAATGCAAATTACATACATGTATTAACAAAAGTTATAGAGTAACATTGAATAAACAAGCAAATTTAAGGGTACAATTTCATTTATCAACAAAAGTTATGGTGTAATATTGAATAAACAAGGAAATATAAGAGTACAATTTCATTTATCAAAAAAAGAGCTGATGTAATATTGAATGCAGGCAAATTTCAGGGTACCATTTCATTTATCAGCAACAAGTTATGGTGTAATATTAAATAACAGGCAAATTGCAAGATGCAATTTGAATTTTATTTTATACACAACAAGTTATGTTGTAATATTGACTAAACAAGAAATTTTTAAGAGAACAATTCTTTCTATCAACAACAGGTCTTGGTGAAATATTGAATAAACAGGCAAGTTTTCAAAGTACAATTTCGTCCCTCTCAGCAACAAGTAAGGTTGTAATATTGAATAAACCAGATAGAATGGACAGGCAATTTCCATCCATCATGTAAAATTCCATCCATCAGCAACAGGTTATTGTGTGATTTTGACAAAACAGGAAATTTTCAAGAGTACAATTCCATGAGCAAGAGGTTTTGGTGAAATACTGAATACACAGGCAAGTTTCAGGGTACAAGTTCGTCCATCAGCAACAAGTTATGGTATGATCAGCAACGTAATGGTAGGATTCTCCATCGATAAGGGTCGGTCTTTGGTTTTCAATCACAATTTTGGTTTACAATTACCTTGCTCAGCCACACGCAAGTGATCCCTGTAGCAGTTAATAAACAATATATCTCTCGGAAGTAGCTTCGATTGAATTTCCCCACTCCCTTGCAGCAATGTTTCTCAGCTCACAAGTTGACCTTAGATACTTCATGTATGGGAGATTTAGGTCGGTCATGCTGAAAAAAATGAGCATGACTTGGGGTCCAAAACGGGCCAAGATAGCATGCGCAAGATAGAATTCAGCCAATCAAATCAGTGCTAGGTTTATGATTATAACGACGAGGTCATGCTATTCCAAATGAGCATGACTTACCGCAGGGATACCAACTGAAAAGTCATTGAAACTCAGCCGACTCACAGGAGCGGTTGGGCTCTCTGAGGAAAGAAACCCTATGGCAGGTCATGCTCTCCAGAATGAGCATGACTAACCACAAGGGACCAAGGTAGGGAAGGGCAGTGAAATAATAAGAATCACTTGGACGAATGGAGTTTTGA